TGGGTGGCTGTTGTCGGGTTGAGGACCAATCAGCAGTGACTCAGTGAGTCCATGCGGCCGAGGGGACCTCTGCGTCACGTCTTCCTCACCCTCACAGCCCCGGGCATCTCCAGAACCAGGATGTCCAAAGCCCACCGCGCGCCACCCCTCACGTAGCCCTGCAGCTCCCGGGCTGGGTTCTTGGCTCAGGGTCCCCGAGCTGCGTGTAGGATCACCACTGAAACAGAACAAATGCACAGAAAGCTCAAAGCCACAGCTGTCAAGTCGGTTCCGAACCACTGCGTCCTCAGGACAGGGCAGCGGTCTCCCAGGCTGAGTCTTCTCAGAAGCAGACGGCCTCGTCTCTCACGGAGACACTGAGGTTTCCATTAGCAGGTGAATGTTTCAACCACTGCACCACCAGGGCGCCATGACCACATCACAGGCACCCCATAAGCAGGAAACCGCTCTCGAGCCAACCCATCTCACTGGGACATTTCAAAACGGGGCCTGACCCCTCATCTTCTTGGAAATGTGTTTAAAGTGTCCTTGAAAAATAAAGGAGGTGGCAGGGCCCTGCTGTGATGTTGCCTTTTTTGCGGCAGAAGACATTAAAATGCAAGTTCAAAGGGTGTGTCCGTTACTAGTAATTAATATTCATGCTTCTGTGGGAGCGTGGGAATGAGCACAGTGTCATTCACCCAGGCTACATGGAGTCCACAGGGCCCAGCAGTAGGTCGGCCGCCGTGGGGACGGTCAGTCATACCAGTCTTCACCTGAGGATGGTGGTGTAGAGGTCACCCATGAGGCCACACCCTTGAGATCATGGCTGGACACACAGCTGGCACCTCAGTTCTTGGAGCCACATCCACCAGGTCACGATTTCAGACACTCCTCCTGTTTCCCTCCTTGCCTGTCCACATGTGTCAGCGCTGTTTGCACAGCACAGTGACCATCACGTGGGCACACGGCCTCTCTCCTGACCTCGAGGCAGTGTGCAGAGGACTGGTCCCTCACTCCCAGGATGTGCAGATGGCTGGGCACAGCTGTGCTCTTCGGCAACTTAGGACCCACACTCCCAGATGCCTTGCTGGTGACTTCTGCTTTTGAAGAATGTGGAGGGACAGTGGTGGCTCAGAAGTAGAATTCCCTCCATGGGGGAGACCCAGGTTCGATTCCTAGCCAGTGTATCTCACACCCACCCACCGCTCATCACCCAGCCAAGGCCTTAGTGGGGTTCTGCTAGGATGGCAAACAGGGTCTAGTGTGAGATGGACGGGGAAGAAAGGCATGTTAGTTTACTCCCGAAAGCCAGCCAGTAAGGAGCACAGAGTTCCACTCTGCAGTGATCCCGGGGCTGCGTGCGATGCACAGCGGCTGCTTCCTCTGTGCCCGGCGCCTCCACCAGGCAGGGTTGTAGGAGCCGAGAACAACGGCGCACAGGCCCAAAGAGGGCAGGCATGGGGCCCACGTCTGCTGGCTCCACTACCTCCACCCTGCTGCTGCCTCTTTCATGATGAATTTTCCATCCTCATTAGGCAAAATGCATTCTTCTCCAATTTGGGATTTAGGGTGTCTTTGTTTTGTTGGCAGCTTCCAGGGGTGGAGGTGGGCTGGGCAGCCCACTGTGGCCAAAGTTTTCTGAAGACCACACTGCCATCCATCACTTCTCCGTGTCTATTGTGGCTGCCTCCACAGGAAAAGGCAGGAAGGCCAGTCATCAGAGGTCAATGTGGGCTCCTCTTTGCAACCAGAAGAGTGTCCACACACCCTGGGAGAAGAATCCCCCTAGATCCCACTGGCATCCAGGCCAGCAGGGGACAGGAGGCAGGACGGCGAGCCTGAGAATCATCGAGCAGAGGCGGCCATAAGGGGCTGGACACAGCAGAGACTGAGGAAGGCGCAGGGCTGGGCAGGGGTTCATTCTGCGCATGTGGGCTCACTAACAACATCAACAACATGTCCTCCCTCAGTGATCCACAAAGTCATGACCACGCTCAAGACCAAGGGGATGAGGTCCATGGAGGGGGCTGAGAATCTATGTTCAGTTACGTGGGAGATGCGAAGACAGCATCTAGGGAAGTCACATTTGCATCCCAAGTGGACGATGTGAAATTGGTCTGGGCACTAACCTCCGCATCATCTCTGCAGGGTTTTATGGTCCTTAGTGTAGACCTGGTGACCTAGTGGGTAAGGAGCCATGCTGTCAACTCCAGGGCTTCAATTCCAGTGGAACTTCAGTTCCACTTCAGTAGCTGCCTTGGGGCGGGGGTGGGGTGGGTGAGCTAGACAATCTCTTCCCGTCCAATTTATGGCCTCTGAAAACCCACTAAGAATCAGGTCTGACTTGACAGCAAGGAGTGAATTAATGCAGCATAAATGACTGTCCTCATAGAATATCCTCGCGCCCCCGATGCCCTCTGAAGATAAAGTTAGGATTGCTGACTTCATTCCCAGTGGCAGAGTGGTCAACACGATCGGTGGGACCAGAGGCTGGAGAGCCCCCACCCCCAAGACCCTGGTTATCAGCATAAGAACAAGGCTGCTGCAGGTTCGCAGACTGGACCGTGGGTGGGCAGGCGGTTACTCATTCCCCCCCGCAGGGAGACGGAGAGCAAGCGAGCAGGGTCAGCCAGCGAGCTGGGGGCAGCTGAGGGAGAGGTGGGGCCGCTCCAAAGGCTGCAGATGCACACACAGATGTGAGCACAGCAGCAGAGAGGAAGCCAGAAGAAATGGAGGGAAGAGGGGACAGAGGGAGGAGGAGAACAGGAAGGAACGACGGGAGGAAAGCAAAGCCGGGCAAAGCAGGCAGCCGCGAGGAAGACATCCGCCACGATCATTTTGCTTGTCCAATTTCCAACACTCAAGTCTGGCTATTGTCACTTCTTTGTTTCTCCGGCTGGCCCCCGAGTCTCACTCACATCATGCGTAATCATTCTTTCCTTGTGTTTGAAATGAACCAGGGAGCAGGGAGCAGGGAAGAGGTAAATCAAACTTTGCGGGGGGCAAAGTGGTCCAGTTGGCTGTCCTGGAACAAGTCAGAGACCCCCGCTCATGCCCGCCACGCACACCTGGAGGTCAAGCATGCAGGATGGCGAACAGATCACCTCCAGAATGCTTCTCAAATCAGTACCCCCCACACCCCTGACAGTTGCCTGGGGGGTGGGCAGGGTGGGAGAGAATGGTCTCCAGAGTCTCACCTCTTCCCCTCAACCCTCTGCCCTGGCTGCCCCGGCCTGTCTTTGCCTTCAGGGTTCACGGACTGAAATTCTCGCCAAGGCAGGGGTCAGGCTGTGGAGGCGGCTGCCCACATAATTACTTCTATAGAAGCAATCTGTCCAGTAGTGATGCTGGGGGATAAGTTTCCAGGGAAGGACGCTTGTAAGGGTGATGCACACAGTAATAAAAAAGACCTAATGAGGGGCAGCGATTACAGGACAATCTGTCATAGCCTGTCAGGACCCAGCCCCACCAAGGGAGCGCCGCAAAGGCAAAGAAGACAGAGGGGCTGGTCCACCCGGGCTCATCTGACCCAGCTTGGCTGTGTGGCTGGAACCTATGCACACATGGTGGGCTAGCCAATTGCGCCCTCAAGACCAAGCATCGTATGTTCACGCACATAACACGTACCTCCCACTCCCTCCCCCAGGAGATATTTTGGTAAAAATGTTGTGCTGATTTTTTTTAAAGCAACGTGTGAGGCAGAACGTGGCACACAAGGCGGCAGTTACCAGGATGCCTCCTGGGGAGAGAAAAACGCATCTTGGAGAAAGGGAACAGTTGGTTGGCAAACGTAGAGGGTGCGTTATTTTCATAAAAATACGATGCATGAGTTATGCATGAGCTGCAGGGCTGGGGAAATACACACTTGGGCCCCTTGTTCAACAATGACTAGGAACTTCAGGAGACCATGCAAGCAAGCTTGGATCCAGCTGAGCTGGGGACCTGGGGGCCTGGGAAGCCAGTCCTGCCTGCTATTGCCACATGATGGGATGGTCTTCTGGGCATGCCTCATGTGTGGCAAAGGACTTATCATCTGGCATGAAGACCTCGGGCCCCTCAGATTCACGTTCTTGGTTCTCATCATTCTCAAAGTGCCCAAAGTGAGACAACAGGCCATCCAAGCCACATCCAGAGGACTCAGCTCGGTGGGCTTGGGATGTAGATAAGGCCACTCCCTGACTCCCTAGAGTGGCCATAGGGCCATGTTCCTGCTCACCACCAGCTCTGACTCCCGGCTGAGACTTACTCTACTGAGTTCTAGAGACCGGAAGAGCCTGACTGTGGGTTTTAGAGATGAGGAAGACAAAGCCCATGGGGTTAGGGCACCTCCGTGTGTGTGTGTGTGTGTGTGTGTGTGTGATACGTCTGCATCTCAAGGGAAGGGACGTGGTCCACCCCTTCATGCAGAGCTAAACCCTATCTTACCTCACAGGGGCCTGACTTTAAAGCAAGACCCAAGGCTACCTCAGGAGGGTGTCAACTAGGTTTTTCATGCAGGAGAGGACAGAGGTGCCCTCTGCTGAGTGGCACCATGGTGCGTGGTGGGCCCACTTGGAGTCCACAGGGAAGACAGGAGCTGGCCCTGGTGGCGCCCCTGGCTGGCAGGTCCCTCAGTCAGGGCAGGCAAGCAGCTTTCAATGACTTTCAGGCTCCTAGAGATGCCTTACAGGTCGGGGGAGGGGCTGCCCATCAGCCCCTGGGGCCCAGAGAACTGGGCTTTTCCTCCTGTCAGAAGCCGGGGCTCCAATGGCCTCTCAGGTGTCTGATCCCTCAGGCTGGCTCCTTTCAGCGGAGCAGGGGGCTCCGCGCTCCCCTCCAGCAACTCCAGGATTTAGTTTCTTCTGGGCCTGACTGAGGGCAAGAGGCACACTCCTAACCTGAAGGCAGGGCTGCGCTGCCAGGGGACCCCAGCAAGGGCTGAAGGCAGATTCTGGGCCGGGCTTGGGGGAGCCCAGGTCTTCCTAGAGTGAGGCCCCTCACCCTTCCCAGGCAGTGCCCCTCCCCCCAGATTCACTCACTCAGGAGTGTTGATCCAAATGATGTCCAGGTGGCAATAGTAGACACACTCCTTGTCCTTGTAGGTGAAACACGTGCAGCGCCGAGTGCGGGGACGCCCAGCCCTCGCAGAGCTCCGCTCGGGCCCCTGCTCTCCACTCTGGCTGGGCCCTCGCTCCTGAGCAGGGCGCTCTGGGCTCAGACCCCCAGCCTTCGGGGCCACAGCGTCCTTCCCATGCCCTTCAGAGCCAAGCGCAGAGAGGCCCCCAGGCTCAAGGCTCTTGCCCGCGTTCCCCAGCTGAGAGCGAGGCAGGAATCCTGTAGGAAGCAGACAGAGGGGTCCTGAGAAGGCAGACCCTCCACAGCCACCATCCCCCAGCACCTGGCGGGGGGAGGGGCAGCAACCAAACTTCCTGAAAAGTTCGCAGACCCGGGGCACTTTCTGTAAAGTTTCAATTGGAACGCGCGCTTGGAGAGGACTGGAGACTTGGCGCCCTGTTTCTGAGAAGCCTGCGAAGGATGTGCGTCTGGTGAGAAGCTTGCATGCTATTGTCACTTGCAGGAAACTCTGTGCCCTTGCACACTTGGGACATTTTGCAAGCACTGCGCTCTCTTTCTGAAAAGCTTGCCAGCGTTTCGCACCCTTTCTGGAAACACTCTGCAAACTTTCTGGAAGCTTTGCAAAACTTTCTGAAAAGTTCCCAATTTCACGACCAAAGTTGTTCCAGTCCCAGATCTGCAGCCTGCGCGCTAGCTGCAACCTCCAGGGTCTTCCCTGCTCTCCCTCTCAGTCCCCAGCCCCCCACGCCTCCCCGCGCGCCTGCGGAGGGGCCCTGCCCAAGCCGGTGGTCCTACCAGAGCTCCCCAGACTTGGTGCACCCCCACCCAGGCCTTTTGTGTGCGCTCGCGCTGGGAGAGGGGAGAGGAGCCGCCCGCGCGCGCTTACCTGCCGCGAAGGTCACTGTGAGCCCAAGGAGCAGCCACAGCGCCAGCTCCATGAACCTGGGTCAGGCCACAGCCCCGGGCCGGAGGCCGAGAGCCTGGGCCGCGCAGGGGCACTGCTTGCGGGCACGGTGGGCTCGCTTTGGGGTGCGAGTGGCAGGGCAGTGGCGGTTACAGCTTCCCGATCGGCCCCCTGTGCCAGGCCACTGTGCGCTCTGCTCACCAGCCTGCACCCTTCGCTCCCCGCCCCAGCCCGGAGCTGCGCGCGGGCCTTTGAACCCGGGGCGCGCGGGGGTCCTCCCAGGCTCGGGCAGCCAGCCAGCGCGCAGCGGCCGGGGCGGGGCGGCGGTGGGTGGGGTAGGAGGGGTGCTGTGGGGGCCGGGACAGCTGCTGCAGGCTACAGGCGCGCGCGCGCGCACACACACACACACACACACACACACACACACACGCGCGCGCGCGCTGGCGCGCACACACTAGCTCCTGAACCTGTAGCCACCAGGAGCAGCGCCCCACTTCTCTGGAGGCAGGACAGGATAACAGACCCCAGGCCAGGGTGTTCTCCTAGATCTGAGTCTAAGAGAAGCGAACTTCTCTCCAGGCTTACCAATGACATCTCCTTTCAAAAGAGCCAGTTCTCTGCCCAGCTCTGGGCAAATTTTCCACTGGTGACTCAGGGCAGCTCAGACTGTCCCCAGCTCCCCTGACGGAGTGTGTGCAGGGAGGTCAGGGCACCGAGGAGCCTAGGCTTAGTGCAGGCTTTTCTAGAGACAGTGCGGACCACGCAGGTGGGGTGACCATCTTTAGGGAAAAGGGCCTCCCCCTAAAGGGCAAGTCCATGCTATCAAAACCTTGACCTCCTGAGAGAAAGCGGGAGTCTTCGTGTCCTTCAGAGCTTTCCCCAGCTCTGCTGGTGCCAGGTGTTCTCACAGGTTCCACCAGCCTCATGGAGAGGGGGAGAGGGCTCTGGGCTCTGCTCTAATCTGTGTCTGCTGTGCATAAGCTCCTGTCTGAACTCTCCAAGACCACTGTCACAGGAACACCAAAGTAGAGGGCTTCAACAAGTGAAATTATCTTCTTTTGCCATTGAGGAGGCTAGAACACCAAATTCAGAGTGTGAGTTGCACGGGAAAGCTTTCTCTCTGTGTGGGTCCTGGAAGAAGGTCCTTGCCTCCTTTCCACATCTGTGGGCCCAGTGATCCAAGGAGATCTCCACTTGTCTTGGTCTCGGGTCTATGAGGTTCTCAGCAAAAGGACTCCAGATTCAAACCCCGTTTCAGGGTTCTGCTGTCCTAGTGGTAACTTCTCAATGCTTACATCTCTCATCTGTTATCTCTTGTAAGATATAAGTTGTGACTCATGCAAGGGTGTGACCAGAGGGCTTGAGTAGGAGTGGTGACATGAGGAAGAGTGGGACTTGTGTCATTCCATTCCTTCCTGTTAAACTATGACTGAGGTAACACCCATTGTAATCCTGCCTCTGTAACATATTCACTTACTCATTTGCTCCCTTATTTATTGCTTTTGTATGTTCTGACTTAGGATGCCTTCTGTCAAGTTTCCAAAGCTGTAAACCACAGAGGGAGAAGACTGCTCATCTTTCTCCCTCAGAACCATGGTGGATTTGAGTAAACTGTCTGAGGCACACACGCAGCACGTCTCAGTGCTGACCAGGCTACCAGCACTCCTTTACTAACCCAGCAGCCTTAGGTACTGTTGAGTCTAGTATGACCCAGTGACCCTGTGAACAAAAGATTGGAACCTTGGTCTACATTATTCCATCTTCATAATCTCTGCCTTGCTGGAGCCAATCCATCTTCTAGAGAGTTTCCCTCTCTTTCACTGACCCTCTCCTTTCCCAAGCATCGTAACCAAGACAGGCTTGGCTTTCCAACACATCTAACCTGTCAAAATAGAATATAATTACATCAGATTGCAAAATTGAGGACGAAATACTTGGAAACCTAGCCAGGTTGATCTATGTTTTTGAGAGACACAATTCAAACCATGATTGCACCTAAAAATCAAGCAAACACACAAAAAACTCAAACCAACTGCCTGGACAGTGCCAGTCCTGTTCATAGCAACCCATCCATTGCAACTGTCATCTGTGTCATAATAGAACTGTACTCTTTAGGGGATTTATGGCAGTGACCCTTCTGATGAAGACTGACTTTACTTTCAAGGTGCCCCTAGTTAAGTTCGTTACCATTAACATAACACTTAACAGGTTGAGGACTTAATTATATGCTTTCACATTATGTCATTGCCTGTGTGTGCTGTCAGGGGACAGGACACAGTGCCGTCCAGATCACCTATTCTAGTTCCTAGCCCACAGAATCTTTGAGCATAATAAATTCTTGGTTTCACATCCCTAGAGTTTGAGTACTTCCCTACAGAGTTGTCACTTCATTGTTGTGGAGTCAGAATCACAGCTGATTCTCCATCAGGTTCTCAGAGGCTGAATTTGAATCACCTGCCTTTGTGTTGGCAGTGCAGCTCTTGACTCACTAGGCTACCAGAGGAAAGTAGTTAAGTGTTAAGAACCAAAGCTTGTCCTTAGGCACCTGTCAACCCTGTGGTCTCCCTGCCGCCCTGCCCAGCCTTGAATTCAAGTCCAGGGGTAGAAAGCAATGAAGGATAAGGAATCCCATCTTTTGTGTTTCTTGATCATCTCCTAGCCAGTGGGCCGAAGGACATTTGCTTCAGTTTTTGCAACAAAACAGGAAAACTGAAGGAAAAAAAACCCAACAAAACAAGATTAGGAATATATTGTGTTCATCCTTGGCTAGAATATGGTCATCTCATTTTTTATCTCCTCTCTTGAAATGGTAAGCAAATGACATACAAAGAAATGTTGAGGGTGGAGATGTCAATGGAGAGATAGAAACCACAGTAATCAGCTCAGGAGAAAAGCAGTAGAGTTCCTGGCTTGAGAACCAGCCTGGCCTTCTCTTACTGTCATGTGTCCTTGGTGAGGTGAGGTCCCTCCCTCAGCTGGCTTCCTCATTCCCAGGGGCTCAGATGAAAGGTCCAGTGGAGGAATGATGACTGTACGTTCCCTCTGAAGAGGACACTCGGCAATGTCCTCTTCTGAAGCCAGTCAACATTCCTTGGCCTTGCTCCTCTCGGCCATCAAGTGTGCCCCTCAGAGGGCCTCCGCCAAGTGCACAGCTTGGCTGCCCTGTTTATTTTTTTCATGTTTCCAAAACCGGCAGATGTGTGCTAGTTCCCTTCTTCACTTCCATTTTGATTCAAAACCGGCTGCTGAGAACTTTGTGTTTGATCTCAGATAAGCAACCCCTGGAGCGGAGTCGCCTCTTCGATTTAGGACTCTTTTTGAAGGTTGTTTTCCCTTGAATTTAGAGGATTTAAGTGAGGACCACATAATACAGTGTGTAGTTTTCCACAATCCGGGACTCTGCTTCCGGCCCACCCCAACTGGCGGAACCTCTGACCTGGCTCTGAGACCAGCTATGAAGGGTTTTTCCATGTTGTCCAAGGACTAGCTGTGCACCACCTCCATCAGCCCGGGGCTTGTCCTGGGACGGCAGCAAGAGGTACACTCCAACATTCTTGCTTGTAAGTGACATAGATTGCCTATAAGATTCCCAGTGGAATACAATATTCCAATGTACTCTTGGTTTACTTTGGTGTTTTATTCTTTTTATTGTGATTTGAGTGAAAGCTTGCAAAGTATATAGGTTATTTGTCATTCAACATACCTTTTCTTTAGAACATTAATGACAATAAAATGGTATCACTTTTTCCCTGTAATTAATATTTCTATTAACCCCTCTATCCTTCCCCTTCCTGCTTTCTGGGCTTTATTTGTCCTTGAACAAATGCTGCTCTTTTGACCTCATAGTCTTGATTCTTCTAAGAACTGAAAGCCTCCCTGGCGGTATTTTCATCTCCTAGGCCTGTCTATTGTTTTCCTGGAAGTTGAGCCATAGCATGAGTTTTGTTCCAGGTTCCAAGGGTGACTAAGGGTTAGAGTCTCAGCGGTCTACCAGTCTCTGTTGGAGCAGTAAGCCTGACCATGCATTCTGCACTATAGCCCTGCCAGCCGCTCGTGCTTAAGGGTAAATCAGGCTGATTCTCAAAGGAAATGTGGCAGCAAATCTAACAAAAGCTGTTCAAGAGAATCCCAGCATGCTCTCCTGTTTCTTGTGGGCATTTGTGGCTATTGCCAGCCTGGGGTCCCATGCCTCTGAGTCTAGTAACAACCTTTTCCATGTTCCCACCTCCCCTTGGACCATGGGGTCTGGGTGGCATCTGGAGACTGGCTTGGGACTCAGACCTAAGCAGTCAGAATCTCATATTGCCTTTGCTGTTGGCAGAATAATGGCCCTTCTAAAAACATCCACATCCTAATCTCCCGAAACTGGAAATATGTGGGTCCCATCGTGGCATGAGTTGAACTGTATCGCCTCAAAATGAGTGTCGTAATCCTAACCACTGATTTCATCTGGGGGTGGCTTGGTTTTCTTTGTTAAGTTAATGAGGCAATATTAGTGTTTTAAATTTAGTGTCCTTAAATTGACCTTGTTTGATATATAAAACAATCAAGTAAGCAAGTGAGTAAACATAAATGAAGAGGAAGGTACATGTTCTATGATCCCCAGGAACTGAAAATAAAAGTGGAAAAGATACAGAAAACTTAGCATAAAGCGGCCAGAGCTCTTCGCTAGAACCGGTGGCCGGAATTCGGACTTCTGACCTCCTAAGCTGTGAGAAAGAGAAACTTCTGTGTGTTAAAGACACACATGGTAGTTCTGTTATAACAATGCTGCACAACTGAGACTGTGGTGGAAAGGACTTGGCAAGTGTGATCAAGGTGAGGGTCTTGAGACGGCAGATTGTCTTGGGCTACATGGGTAGCCAGAACCAGTTGCTATCACGTCAGTGCATCTCATGATCACCTGTGCATGTCAGAGTGGAGCTGTGTTCCATGGGGTTTTCGGTGACTGGTTTTTTAAAGCAGATTGTCTCTGCACCAGGCCTCACTTCTGATGTGCCTCAGGATGGACTTGAATGTTGTTTGGGGTTTTTT